AAGTGTTTTTCATTTAAGGGGAATAAGGAAGTACATAGGGCAATGAGCTGGGTGTCAGTTACCTTTTTTTTTTTTTAAAGATTTCTATTGCTGATTTTTTAAAAAAAACAATTTTTATGTGTGCTGATCTAAACCATGGCCACTCAGAAATATGTTGAATGAAGTCCTGTTAATGAATTCATGATGTAACTTACAAAGGATCACTTTATGTTATCGCTAAAGCTAAATTATCTTTTGCAGTTGTACCCACAATAGGATGACAGAAGTGCCAAATCCTCCCTTTTAAGTCAGCTCAAGAGCCCCAGTAAATTAACACCAGAAAGGTTAAGCCAAGTAGACTGTGGTGGCTTTACTGAGATAACCTCAAAGTGCACCAGAGACAGGCATTAAGCTCTTGTTCTAAGAACCATTGAGGCTGCACATGACATCATAGGCCGCAGATCCCTGGTCCTTTGTAAACACATACTAATACCAGGCTTGTCTGGGTGAACAAAAATAAGTCCACAATTATGGCTCGTTTGAACTGCACTTCTAGGTAGCCAGACAGAAGCCAAGTTATCACCTGAACGCTACAGGTCAAGATGATAAATCAGGAGTAATAAATCTCTTATCTAAATGGGGCAGATCCAAGAAGAGGGGGGGGGAACCCACATTGGAAAACTTTCCAAACTCTTGGAAAGAGATATATATGACACTCCTGTGGCCCTCTGATAAGCAGAGAGGCGGCTGTTTCTCTTTTGTGGCTAGGTGCTGTGCTTTCTAAAAGAACGCTGGTACAGCCTCTCACGTTACATTCCTGCCCTAAGTGGCCCACTGAGGAGAGATAATGGGTCTGGATCCCAAACTGAAGAAGAGAGGAGGAGGACATTGCGCTGCCTTGGCCCATGGTGCGCACATCTTGTACTTGATGGAGCCAAGGCATAAGTGGAAGAGACCTCATCTCGCCAGCTTGCACTCCTCAGTCACTGCTGGGGCACTCAGCAGTAGAAATCAAACTCCGTTTCATACTAGAGATGCTGGTGCAGCTGTTCTTTTCATTTTGGAAATACAAACATACCACTTTTAGAAATCTACATATTTAAAAATCTGTTGCCAGTCTGTATGCCTTGACATATCTAATTTAGTTTAAACCCAAACTAATGGCACTAAAGAGAGTGCAAAAATCAGATTCCTGTTTGCTTCCCTGAAGTAACACTGCCTTCATGGATCCAACAGGGATGGTCAGAAGTGAGATGTGAATGTTCTGAGTCATTTACGATAGATATGCAAGGGTTTCTGACCTGCAGTTCCTTGAAATCAACAGGAAAAAAAACTTTCTCCCCCACACCAGCTAAATTAGACTGGTGGGATTAAACAAGCCTGGAGGGGGAAACTGGGTGTCAGACTTAACATGAAATTATTATAAATTTCGTTCTGATGCTGAAAATTAACCATGGACTTAGAGGCAACTTTTCCCTCCAGTCAGGGAATACTTCTGGCCCACTCCCCATGCTTGAGACTTGAATTAAAAAAAAAAAGGAGATCCTGGATGTCTGAAGTCTACCCACTTGTGATGCACTCTAATAATGTTAATGTTGTTAATAGTAGTAGTAGTAGTAGTAGTAGTAGTAGTAGTAGTAGTAGTAGTAGTAGTAGTAGTAGTAGTAGTAGTAGTGAGGTATCAAGTCAATTCTGACTTGCGGAGAGCTTTTTCAGGTTTTCTACCTGGAGAGAACTCAGAAGTGGTTGGCCATTCCCTTCTTCTGGGGGCATTCTGGGACTGTTGAGCTTCTCCAAGGCCACCCAGGCTAGCGCTTCTCATGGACGTAATACTGGGACACTGAACTTCCAACTGTTGGCTCTGCAGCCAGAGACCTAACTCACTGAGCTATCCAGCTAGCTCAAACAGTCTTCAAAAGCCTATGCCGAATGAAGCTCATTACCTCTTCAAGGTACTGCAGGGCATCATCTTGTTTTTTCCCCTCTAGAATCTAAAGTTTTACACTGGCTTCCCCAGCAACAAAGTATGAGAGAAAGTTAAATCCACCTCCGCATCACTGTTTGTTCATGTGCACTAGCATCAAGATGGCAGAAGTAAAACAGTTCTGAATTGGGGTTATAGTGATTAGGTGGGAAGGGAGTTTCTGTTTTCAGGCAACAATAGGTTCAACTTGCATTCAGGAGACAGTGCTCTGAATCTTTCCAATGTGCAAGCCTATCTTTATGTCCCACAAAAGCTAGAAAGGGTTTGGTCTGGAAATGATAATGGAGGTTCTCAAAATGTTCACTTGCATGCCAAATCATACCATATCCTTGACATTTCTATCCACTTTGAGCCTTCTACTAAGCATAGTTCCTTCTCCTAGCTTTTGTGGTTCTTTGTAAGGGTGAAAAATATACAAAACTGTATTTAGACACCAAGTTTTTATTCCTCTTCCCCCCCCCAATAGATTTTGGGTGCCTTACAGGTATCCAGAATGTCCAGGTCTTGGTAGTGGCCAGGCATGCATTTGCACAATTAAAACTAGTGTGCCAGCTGTGCCCATTCCTGCATATAACTGATCTGGCCACAATGACACATGCCTTTGGGCCCATTCATACAAAGCACATGTTTAACTTCCCTCACATCCATGGCACCAGTACCACATGTCAGTATACAGATGACGCAAAGCTGAGTTAAAGTGGGACACCAAAAATAGACAGCAATGTAATTTTTCTTCTGCTTTACTCCAGTTTGTCCCAGTGAAGGATGCACTGGTGTGGACATCAGTACCACACTGAAATGTGATGAGCTGTGCACTTTGCAGTTGTGTGTCACGTGATGATGTTGCTTAACAGGCATATTTCTGCTGGCCAATCTCCATGTTTCCACATCCTTTTGTTGCCCCTGTTTAGTTTTCTTCAGATATCAGATATTCCTGGTGTTTCGTTTTTGTTTTTTAATTTACTGTTAAAAATAAAATTCAAAAGCATGGCAGTGAAACATGAAAGTTAGAGGACAGGGATTCGTCGAACAACGAAGAAAGAGAGGAGAGAGCAAGAAAGGGAGGAGAGAGAGCAAGGACTGAGAGGGAGAAAAGATATGCAAAAGCAGAGGACCATGTGAAATGAGTATGAGACCTCAGGGAGAAATTCTGGATTTGTGTGCACAGGCAGTACTGGGGACTCAAGTACATTCAGCAACAAATACCCTCCTCAGCTGTAGATACAAATGCTGGAATGATCTATTCAAATCTGCAACAATAACAACAACAACCCAAAATGATCCAGAAACTCGAGAATTATCAGGGAGACAACACACTGTTCACAAGCGCTTTGGTGACATCCCACATGGATTATCATATGGTCCTCCATGCGGGGCTGCCTTTGAAGTGTGTTCAGAAACTTCAGCTGCTCCAAAATGCTGCAGCCAGACTGCTGTGCAGGTACAGTCATGGGGAAGGTGTAACTTCTCTGTTCTATCAGCTCCACAGGCTTCTGGTGCATTTCCAGGCCCAGTTCAAAGTGCTGGTTTTGATCTGTAAAATCCTATACGCCTTAGGTCCAGGCTGCTTGAAGATGGAGCCTATTCATATCAGCCTCACCCAGTTTTAAAATCTTTGGGGAAAGTCCACCTTCCAGCCCCCCTGTCCCCCAATCGACAGGCAGATGAGGACTCAAGACAGGGCATTTTCAATGGCTAATCCCAAACTGTGAACTCCTCTGTAGGTCAGGCTGACTCCAACTCCCCACCCCATTCTCAAAGAAGAACTGCAGTAGGATTTCAAGAAGACCTGGGAGACAAATAAAAATTATATACAGTATTTGCATGACTTTTTCCAGCTGCAGCCGAATCACCTCTATTAATTTTGCAAAGATTTCATCCATTGAAGGGGAGTGAATATATTTAACACAACAAAAGTACTAAGTAGATGTGACTGGATAGAAATGAAAATATAAAGCTTAGTTATCTGGGTTTTACATTTTCCAGTGTGAACACCAGCAGTTTTCTTTTGAGTACCATTCCTCCAGAGAGATGTTTGGAAGAAGGCAACTACAGCATTATAGTATGCAATGGCCTTCAACAGGGATTTCTTTTATGGCCTCCTTGCATTTCTACTACAGGATCTGGTTCAAACAAAAGATAAAAACTTAAAGCCAGTATCTCTGTATCTGCCTTATGGCAGAGACTAGAAATGCAGATTGCTTTTCCTGTAGGCCTGTAACTGATTAAAAAAAACACACTAACTGATTAGTGTTATATATATATAAAGATGTAAACAAACATGTATACCTACCTAGTATTTGCACTTCATGGGTAATTCCATAGACATCGATCAGTGCCCACAGAGGCCCAGAGACTTTGACGCCACAGTGAAACAGAATTGGCTCTTCATCATTAATGCTGTAGAAAACTCTCCCATGGCGATCCACCCAGAAGGCCAGGATGTTGTCTCTTAGTGCAAACCTCTCTGGCAGTGCTTTGGCCCAGAAGCCTGAGCGTGTGACCAAGTCTGGGCAGGCGTACTTTGGTATGTCATCTGCACACATCTGCGATGGATCGTGAGTAGTAAAGCCAAAGCGCAGGGCCCCACTCCACCCATGGTGCACAGACACTAGCTTGAGTCGCACTTTCTCATAGAGGTGGATGGGCCGGTTGGTGAAAGTGATGCCATTGCAGAAGCTGCTCCTCCGGGTGGCCTTGCGAGAATGGGCGTCCAGGCGGATGTTCTTTCCTTTTGCCTGGAAGTGGAAACGTGGAGGCTCAGTAATGGTGAGGACCGACCGCCTCTCATGGCTATTGTTGGGCAGTGTGTAGTAAGGCCTGTGGGATATCGAGCGGGCCTGCTGGCTGGTATCTGCAAAAAAACAAAACAGACGCTTTAGGAATGTTCGGCTTAAAGCAACCATTCTCACCAAAGTGGCACATTAGGAGAATGACTCCCATTCGTCAACTGAGACGCTGAAGATTTAGGGCTACCACGTTCAAGAAACAAACGCCTTTTAGTGGCCAAAGCTCAGACTCTTTTGGGGTAATCTTGAGTTTAGGGGTGTTCCTGCCCTATTGAAATCAGATTTTATACAGACACAGCATTGGGTCTGTCTATCTATCCATCTATCTGTACACCAACTCCAGGGCTTCCCCAGGCAAACGTCCGAGAGTTTCTGCCCACAGACACATACCTACAGACACCTACGTTTTGTTCACCTGGAGAATGGTCTACCTCCAGAGTTCAATAGTCTTTGGGAGTGTAGTCTATGGAGCCTAATGAGCAGCAAGAATAAAATGCCCAGGAATCACCACAGCAGCTTGATACTTATATTAACAACTGGAAGGAAAGGCCAGAGAAAGTCATATCGCCTCAGAGGTACGTCCTTCTCCAGGTACATGAAATGTAAGTGTCTGTAGGTGTTTGTTTATGGGCAGAAACTCCCAGATTTATGCTTGAGGAATACTTAGAGAATTCTGGGAGTTGGAGTCTGGAGAAAAAAGCGAACCCCACAAAAGAACAACCCTTACTCAACACTCTTTAGCAATGGTGCAATGGATGGGATTTCCATGTTGCCATTAGCACCAGTGGCACAGTGGTTAAAACTGCAGTACTGCAGTCAAGCCTCTGCTCATGACTGGAGTTTGATCCCGGCAGGCCCAGGTCCAGTAGTTGGCTCAAGGCTGAGTCATCCTTTCAAGTTCAGTTAAATGAGTACCCAGCTCACTGAGGGGCAAAGTGTTGTTTGCATAATTATGTTGTAAGCTGCCCAGAGACTGCTCTGGCACTATGGGACGATAGATAAGTCAAAACAACAAGCTGATTTGCTCCAAAACCGCTTCTCAATTGCGAACCATTTAGTGCAGCTGCTAATTTACCATAACATTCTTCTTCCCTTCCTATTTGGAAGAAAGTCCGATGCCTTGTATCCAGGCAGCTTATGTGGACAACAAAAGGAAAGAAAGAAACCCCACCCTGCTGGGGAGGAGAGAAGCAAGTTCTTATAAGGGCAGGTGGCTGGTGGTGTTACTTGCTGCCTTCCCTTGTTCCTTGCACAGTTGCATAGAAAAGAGGGGGCAGCATAGGTGGAAAAGAGACAGGAAACATACATTTCAGATAACCTGCAATAAGCTTTTTGCTGAGGGTTAGCTGAAAATAGGTTTGAAACTGTCTGTTCCACACACCCTCTTTAATGTGAATCCTTGCACTGAAGCCAGATGTAGGTAAAGCAGTCCCAGGCCTGCAGGCTGGCCAGCCCTGGGATGCAAGGCTGGGGTTGGAGCAGCCTCACCCATTTGCCACGCAGAGAGAAAGAATCCAATGGAGCTGCCCTTCCCCCAGCAAAAAAAATATATATTACCAGGCAGCCAGTGCCAAGGGGCCTAGGAAACTTGCAGGGTATTGGCTGGGCAGGGATGTTGTTTGTGCCTGAGGGGCAGCTCCGGCGACTTCGTTTTGGCTACATGCCGAGCTCCAACCCGGTGCTGTCAGTAGCCAGGTAGCTTTCTGGCACTGGCCGGCCATGACAGGAGCCCTAGTGTGGTTTTTCAAAAGGCACCAACATGCACTTTTTAAAACCACACTAGAGTGTCATGTGAAATGAGCAGTCACTGTGAAGCGACTTCAGTCCTTCCTGAAAGTGTAGATGCAGCCACAATCTTGGGAAATGCGTTGAACCTCCAGTGCCACCTTCGACCTATAAACCCAACAAAGCCAAGAAACAGTCCGTGGCTTTGGAACCATGCCGACAAGTTCTATTTCAAGAGATAGTGCTTTATCTCCTGGAGGGCTCATCCATTATTCAAACAGAATGAATGAATCCACATGTTGGTGACTTGCCTTATGGCAACGGTTGGAACAGTCCAAGCAAGCAAGAGTCCCTGAAAAGCAGCCTGTTCTGAACTGCCACGGTTGCGGTATCTGCAGCGGGGTTTACAGCTTTAAAAAACTGCCCTTCCCTGAACAGCTGCTTCAAAGCTTGGTTTCTCTCTTGTGTTTCAGCATAAATAGCACAGATTTTGTCTTATCCGTCTTTTGAGAAATACATAAGGAAGATGCCACAGCTGAACTATAAAGCCAAAAGGAAAAGAAAAGAAGAAAAGAAAATGCCGATCCATAGAGCTCAGGAAGCGGGAGGGGAGGGACCTGGCTCCCACATCGCCCTCTTTTTTTTTGTTTTTGGGTAGGGCCAACCTCTGATTTCTCCATATACCAGGAACAGTGTAATGGCAACTATTTAGTAACTGTTTCCTTTATTTTTAATGAATGACACAGACACGCATCCTTAGGAAGAGAAGATTAAAGCTTTTGTCCTAATAAATTACATAGCAGAAGGAATAAACATCAACACAGCTTATGCTCTAGCCACTAATCATTACAAAATACCCACATGCCAGCTACCTAAAAGAAAAAGAGGAAAAAAGGGGCTGGAGTCTTATTTCAATGGCAAAAATGGAAAATCAAATCTCATTTCAGACATAGGTTTTTCTGAACAACAGGCTACTTCTACTACAGGACCGCATCTCCCTTTAGCAGCCTGCTCAAGTGTTAGGATTATCAGAAGCGCTATCTTCCTCTTAGTTCCATCACCTTCATAGGTGCGTTTGCTGGGAATGCAGGAGAGGGCCTTCTCTGTTGCTGCTCACAGACTCTGGAGCTCCCTCCCATGAGAGGCCAGCCTGGCCCAGTCTATGCTGTCATCCTGCAAGCAGATAAGACCTTTCTCTTTAGGCAGGCTTTACCTTAATGACTGGATGCCTAAGTGGGTTTTTTTAATGGATTGTTGTACCTTACTGCTTTGGTGTTGCTTATGTTTTTTGTATGGTTTTTGTTTGATCCATTTAGTACTGTGTTTCCCCGAAAATAAGACAAGGTCTTATATTAATTTTTGCTCCAAAAATGCATTAGGGCTTATTTTCAGAGGAGGTTTTATTTTACAGTCATGTTATCTTCTTCTGGTTGTTGCACAATGCGGCACAATGGTGGAGGGCGGGGTTTCACTTAACTGGAGCTTATTTTTGGGGGAGGGCTTATATTACAAGCATCCTGAAAAATCATACTAAGTCTTATTTTCAGGATAGGTCTTATTTTCAGGGAAACAGGGTATTTATCTAATCACTGTTAGCTTTAGTATTGTCTTTTAATGATGTAAGCTGCCTTGGGTCTTTTTAAGAAGAAAGGTAGAGTAAAAATATTTAAAATAAATAATAAATGAATATTCAACACTGTCTGTACAGTTTAGAAGGGACCCATACAGCTGAACACCCTCCTGTACCTCCTTCTAACTCTGCTGTCTATAGCAAATTACAGTGGTGCCTCCACTTACGACCATAATCCGTTCCACAAGATGGATGTAACTTGAATTGGTTGTAAGTTGAAGCACCATTTCCCATAGGAATGCACTGAAATGGAATTAATCCATTCCGGCTGAAGAAAAAAAAAATCACAAAAAAATCACTGCAAAACTCATTGGAAATGTGATTACTCCCTTCTGGCCGAAGGGAGGAAAGAAAAGCAATGATGTGTGCAAGACCCATTGGAAATGCATAGAAAACAAACGGAGCACATCGGAAATGCACAGAGAACAAAGGAGGCAGGTCAGAAATGCAAAGAAAACAAAGGAAAAAGCAAGGGAAGCATGCAGGACCCATTGGAAATGGGGGAAAACCCCCAAAAGTAAACAAACCCCCCAAGACCCATCAGAAATGGGGGGGAATAAAAAACTAACAACCCCCAAGACCCATCAGAAATGGGAAAACACTCAAAAGAGCAACAAAAATCCCCAAGACCCATCAGAAATGGGGGGGAACAAACAAACCCCCCCAAGACCCCTCACAGCACAGCAACATAACCCCCCAGTTCAAAACCACGCTGCAAACACACCCAGAACACATTTTAAAAAGCAGAAATCAGCACCTTACCTTACCAGGCAGCCCGAAGCCTCCCTGCAAACACGCACACACACTCTCAGAAGCAGAAGGAGGCAGTCCCAAGCCTCCGACGACAACGCACACTCTCTTAACTGCTGGGGCGAAAGAGCTACAAAGAAGCAGCCTCATTGCCACCAACAGTTACAATTTGAATTCCTGCCTTTTTCCCCTGCCTTTTTCTGTTCATAAGTGGACACTCCGGTTGCGAGTAGAAGTAAAATTCTGTGGCCCAAGCTGGTCTTAACTCAAAATGGTCGTAAGTAGGGACATTTGTAAGTTGAGGCACCACTGTAGTATGTTTCTCGATATGCTACGATTCTCAAGGTGTGTGAGCGAAGACTGGCAAGAATGTAGCTGGTTGTGGGCCCATTTTACAGCTTCAGCCCCTCACGTATAAATTGGTAGCTGTAGCATCCTCAAGGATTTATGTGGCAATAAGTGAGATGAAGAAAATGTTGTCATGCCCTTGAGCTTCAGGGCAAGAGAGATCACCATTCAGGAGCCTTACTTATTTCCTTGTTCAATAGCTGCGCTGACACGCCACCTTTCCTCTAAAGAATTCAAAGCGGCATGCTACTCTCCCAGTTATGCCTGTAGACTCCATACCAGTGGTTCTTAACATTTTCTTTACCATGGACTCCCTTTAAATATATTGCCTTGCCATGGACCATCAAGACTTAATTCAAGATTTTAAACCCTAAAGTGGATCAAATATTTATTTAAAGTTTCTCATAAAGGGTATCATTGACAGATATTCCTTGCTATAACAGTGACACTTTTTAAGATGGCTGGAAGAAGCTTCATTTTGCTTCGAACAGGATGCACCCTCATCAACAGCATCAGTTCTTTTATGTTTCAGATCCAGCCAGCGACCCATTCTGAGGCTCTGCCAAAAATAGTTATGAAATTCACTGCAATAACATTGAAAAGTCATTTTAC